CAAGGGGTAATGGGTTAAACAGGAAAAGTTTAGATTGGATATAAGAAAGAAGTTCTTTACTGTAAGGGTGGTGAGGCACTGGAATGGGTTGCCCAAGGAAGCTTGTGAAAGCTCCATCCCTGGCGGTGTTCAAGGCCAGGTTAGACAGAGCCTTGGGTGACTTGGTTTAGTGTGAGGTGTCCCTACCCATGGCAGGAAGCTTGGAACTAGATGATCGTAAGGTCCTTTCCAACCCTAACTATTCTATGATTCTATGAATAGCAGTCTTCTCATAAAAGGAGGTGTTTACTAGCAGGGGATTTAAGAAATGGCATTGACCACATCATTATTTCATTTCATCACAAAATAAAGCCAGACTTCTCTCATTAGCGCAAAATTAAAACACTAATTGCTTAAAATCAAGCAGAAGTCCTTAAATGGTGGAAATGTACTACTAAAATTAAGCTGTTGCAGTAGTTTAGGGATATTCTGCTTACGTGAAATTACTTTCCTGTACAAGGGAACCCTGTCCAGACAGCTGCAGAAGTTGCAGACTGCGGGCAGGGGTGCATGCCAGGGAACTTCCTTCTTCCACCCTGGTTATCGGGCAGCCACTCCCTACAGCAGTTGTGAACAAAAGGAAGCAAGGTTAGAAATCTGGTCAACAACCAAGTTGATCAGAAAACTCTCGAGAACGATATTCACACTACTGCAAGGTTACTTCTCAGGTGGGCAAGGACAAGCTGATTTTCACAGAGCTGGAGAAAGACTGCACATGATAGTTCAGTATGTGAAATGTGAGCATAATACAGTTAAGATGAAAAAGTTTGTACTCATAGAACAGATTTTAATCAGATGGGACAGTACAGGTCTTCCTACTTGAGAATTTTAAAATAAAACTCCCCAGTGGCTCCAATATCAGCACATTTGATCCAGCAGTAGAATACAAATACAGGCAAGGTTCCTACAAGAAAAGACACCTTGCATTGACCACTGACTCAGTGTGAGCAGGAGGTTACTGGGCCTTCTGGACACAGGTTTCATGCACAAGATCATACTGGTAGACACAGTTGGGACAAATTAAAAGCAAACGAAAAGCATGAAGTGAGACTTCATTTAGCTCATGCTTTATAAACTGTGACAAAGTTGCCCTTCAAAACTTCATTTTCTAGGCCTTTCACTATTAAGATTGTTAAGAACCTTTATTAACTTTCAGATACTAAAATGAGACACAGATATCCTCCTAGCAAGACATGGAGTAATGACAGATCCTCTTATGCTATTCCATGTAATCTTTTCTCTTACAGGAACATTAAGAGAAGGAACAGCAACCTAGACAAATAAGGCTGACTAAAATTACAGTACAAAGATTCTGATTGCAGGATCCTGTCCTGTCCCAAAGAGGAAAGCCAGTTCAGGGAAGTACAGTGGAATGTTTTGCCAAAGTTATCCAGCATAAGAAAGTTTACAGTTTTTTCCTGAACTACTTACTACACTTTACATGGTGTCACTCCAAAGGGTGAGCATTATTATTGCCAGTTTCAGAATAGGGTAAAATGGGTATTTATTTTTTTTCTTCTTCAAGTGGGCACAGAAAGAAAGAAAATTAATGTATTAAACAAGCCAGTGTAACTGTTGTAACAAAAGTGACATTTAGACATTGCTCCATAGCACAGTGAAAGAGACCGTGGCATTTCATTTCCAAAGCAGTTTCAATTTTAGCAGAAATTATGTGAAAAATACAGCACTCTGCACCCTAAAACATTGCATGCCTAAAAAGATCAAGCAGGGATGATGATTATAATGATCTCCAGGATGGACATTTTGGCTCTGCTTGTCTATTATTACCTGTTGCATTATTCTCAGGAAACATCTCTTCCTGACTTGACAAGATACTCAACTCCTGGTGACCAGAATCAAGGGATTTCTCAGTTTTAGTAAGGTCACAGACAGGCAGTTGTTTCTTGGTATGTTGTTCTGCTTCCTGCAGAGCTCTGGAAATGCAAGACACAGTCACTGACCTGAGAAATTCAAAGTATGAATTAATATTGCAACACTGAAGGAAAACCTATCTGCACAGATAAAAGGTATTCATTTGTGTATGCTGCAGAATAAAAAAAAAAAAAACCAAAACCAAAAAAGATAAACAGGAAAACCAACCTCTTTCTCCTGACCAAATAACATGTTACATTTTCAGAACTGCTGTTTTTTGTTTTCTACCAACCTAAGTGATACTTAAATGGAACACGGATTGTTCTGCTGACTTCCATTCAGTGTGCATTCTAGGAATTTTGTTTCACCTCCTTTTTAATATTATTTTGTGATGGAATATGCTAATACAAGATGACCTAATATTACTCTATCTAGCATAAAAGATCTGTAGAGTTTTCAACAAACTAAAATATCACATTTTAAAATAATTAAAACTATAAAGGTTACAATAGTAAATACTCAAAAGCATTCAGGTATAGCCACCACTTAGCTTCTGAATTTTGCTGTGAGGCCAAATTCCAGGCTGCAGTGATTAAGTTATCTTAAAATAACTTCTGTGACTTAAACTGAATTATTATTTTTAATATAGTCCACCCATTTAAGAAATTAGTACACTTTATTATCCACTGCACTCTCCCTTAAAAATAAACCTATTGATATCTTTGTGTGTCTCATCAGTACTTCATCTTTCCCTTCACTTTTCTCTTTTGCCTTGGAGCCTGAACCCTCTATATCTACAAACCTAGGGAGGAAAAGGGAAAAAAAAAAAAAAAGAAAAAGAGAGAACACAAATCAATTTCCAGAATGTCAGCAAGAGACCTACAAAGCACATGCACTGTTCCACCTTTCAGACTTCTCTGGCTGGCCTTCCAAAGCGGTAGATACTTCTGTGCTGTCCCTAGGCAGTTCTAGCAACAGCAAGAAAAAAACAAATTGTTACTTGGGTCACCTGGTTAATATACAAAGAGAAGTAAATGCAGTTCTGTAAATTATATCAAGTCAATCTTTACAGGGAAAAAAAAAATATCTTTGAACTATCAATGATAGCAACAAAAAAGACAGGATGAGGTTTTTAGCAGGGAGGGAATTCAGTATCAGGTTAGTTGAACATTCTGGAAATAAATTAGGAAAGAGAAGTGCAAGAATCAATGCCAACACCTGGACAGCTAAATGAAAACAAATTAACTACTCCAAATGAAAGAGAAAGCAAAATTCTTTTCTACTGTCAATGAAAACTACCAATACTGTTTTTCCTGTCAAAGAAACATAACATCCATAATGTACAGAAACAAGAATAGACAGAGCAACAAAACGACATCTAAGATCATCTTCACATACCATCCGTAGCATCATTCTTCACAAGTCCATCAGCTCCAAGGTGAAACTGATGCCTACCATCTCCTTCACTGGGCATGAAGTCACTCTCAAAGTCCTGGCTCTGTGAGAGCTCTAGAGCTCCAAACTGCAGCTGTGACATGTCTGTGTCTAACACCAAACATTCATAACAAATATATACACAAAACCAAAAAATAGAGCCATCTATCACTTTACAAAGGCAAAAGATACTTTTCTTGTTAGAAAGTATACTTAGGCTATTGCTGAAACTATGAATAAAGACTCTGATCTCAGCTGTACTAATTAAAAATACAGTAACAGAACAGGGACAGTGACCATTAACACAGAAACCACAGTTACTCAGCACAGTCTTACATAATGCCTCGAAGTACTGCAGCACATTTGGATTTCCCGATAGGAAAACAATCCTGGTGATACACAGCCTGTGCCTCAAAGCCCTTTGATGACAGCAACCATTATGCCAGTTCTTTAGTCTGCCATGAAAAAGACTGCATCTCGTAACAGTCACAATGCACCCATGCCTCTTTTAAGTCACTCCCAATATCCAAGACCCTTCTTAATAATATGAAATCACTGGGTTTGGTGGGGTTTTTTTTAAACATCAAAGCAAACATATCCGCTTCCATAAAACATGCCAATTTTCTGAATTATTTTAAGTGTAACTGTCCTCAGTCAGACTGGTGAAGCAGCTGAACTTAAAAACACCACAGGCGGCTGATGAGATTCACAGCTCCAAGAAGTTACCTTCTATACACGACGAACTAGTACAATCCTCACCATCACCTCCACCGCCTCCAGCCTTTCCAACGGCACTGCAACAGACACACTCATTCGCACCGCTTCGGTGGGTGCCGCAGGCCGCCTTCCTACAGCCGCCCTCTGTCCCGCGTGGTCGCTCCGCACCGGGCGCTCCCCCAGCGCAGCCGCAGCCAGCGCCTAGCCCATGTTTAAGTACGCCCGCGGCGACCGGCAGCAGTTTTACAGGGCGCGAGACCCCGGAGGCGGCGGCCTCGCCCCGGGATGGCGGCCCCCCGAACTCGCCCCCCCCCATCCCCCGCACCTGCGCTCCCCGCCGGGCGGCGGCACTTCCTCAGCGACGCTACCTCGCGGTCCGGCGGCGCCCAGGCGGGCAGCGCTCTCCATGGGCTCTGCAAGCAGCGCGCCGTTAACACGACTGCAGCCCCGAGGCGCGCCGCACCCCCAAGCACTGGTCTTACCTGCGGGCCGCTCCCGGTCCGCCTCTCCACCCGCAGGTGCCCGGCTGCCGGCACGACTGCGGACGATCTCCTGCAAAGCAGACGTACGGATCACGTCAGAGCCACGCCAGGCCGGGCCAGGCCGCGCCGCCCCGTCCCCCTTCAAAACGCTCACCAGCACGGGGCTCGGGCTCCGCCGGGCCGGGAGCCGTCGAGCAAGCACACCGAGACAGGCCTGCTCCGCGTCCTTTGCGCCCGCGCCCTCAGGCTGCGAATCCTCCACGATCAGGCGGGGCGTGTCCTGCTGCGAGAAGACGGGGTCCATCTGGCTGCCGCCACCCTCCATGCAAGGCGCCGCGAAAGGCGGAACGCCCGCCGGAGCTCAGCCGGGGCCCTACGCCGCCCGCCCGCCTCCCAGCCCGGTTGTGCCGCCGCACCGCGCCACGCTTCCCGCGGACGCCATCTTGGAGCGCGCCGATTGGCTGTGCGCGGTCCCCCCGCCCGCGCCGCCAGCGCCGTTACCAGGGAGACGCTGTCCCGGGCACCGCCAGGCGGTTCTGGCGCCGAAAGAGGCCGCGGCCTGGCCCCGTAAACGGCTTTTTGCGAGTTCTCGCGTGTTTGTTTTTCTGTTGTTGGGGTTTGGGCTTTTTTTTCCACTTCTGCACCTCTCTGTATTTTATACATGAGAATTCTACAGACCTTATTTAAAAACCTGCTGGAGAGCCAAAACCACTGAAGACTGAAAAAAAATCCCTGGTAATCTGGCCTGGAAGAAACTGTTACTATGCAAAGTTATAGACACAAGGTTGTATGTTCTGAAACAGTAAACAGGACTTGTTACATGAAAGGCCCAGTTTGCACATGCATGTTAAGAACATTAAACGATCTATAAGTAGTTACAGTTCGCACACAGGAAGGATGCTTTAGTGGTTGGTCGTTCAGTTCCCAGAAGATGCTCCCATAGGCTTTTGATGAAGTTGCTCATAGGCTTTTGCTAGCCCTCAGGAGAAGACAGACTTCATGTTCACAAAATATTTTATCCCAGGGAACTGAAAGGAGATGGGATCACGATGGCACATTTGGCAGTCTACAATCCTCAAGTGTCACAGAAGCTTTAGGACAGGCTTTTGCAGTTTGTTCAATTCCCTTCAAGCAGAATTCTGCTTCCATCAGAATGAAAGCATTTCAAATGGTCTTCCTTTATGTTCACTCTCAAAATTAAATAAAACGTAATTGTTTGTTTTGGCAAAATAGAAGGTAAAGCTGTCTTCTAAGCACAAGTATAGCATGACCCCTCTTTTTTTTTAAGCAAGTTTACAGTACTCCACTACTGATCCTTGCTGGACTTACTAGCAGGTTTCCAAGCCTGCTACAGTCTTCCCCTTCAATGTCTAAGAATAAGCTCCTTATTGAAAGAACATGAAACAATGATATGCTTCCTCACATCATCTTTTACACTTCTATCCTGCCAGCACCTCTTCTTCATTAGCTTCTAGCAAATACACATTCTTCAACAGTGCATTAGAAAGGCCTGCGTAAGCCAAGTCCTCCTTCGAACTCCAGATTTTTGTATGAAGGTGTTTCTATAATAGATCCAGTTAACTACTAACCAGGGGAAAAAAAGACAAAATTATTCCATTTACAACAACATGAGAAGCACGTGCAACTGGGCAGACATTTGCCATGCATTAGGTATCTTTGAAGAGAAAATGAGAGAGCAGAAAAAACAAAGAATGGATTTTGAGGAGCGGATGTCAATAAACAGGTAACTGTCAAATAAGATCTTGCAGGACAAAAGTTATGAAGAGAGCAGTTTCTTTTCTAAAGGCGCAAGTGCAAGCTATCTTAATGCAAAGAAAAGATAAGAAATTTTAACAGGAGAAGATGATTTGACTCTAGTAGAACAAGAAAACAGAGGAAAGGAAACAGGAAATCAGAACTGTATCAGCTGTCTCAAAGGATCGGTGTAAAAGAATGGCAGGACATACAAGGACAAAAATTAAAAAGGCCAGAGATATGAAGAGCAACAAGAGAATGATCTACAGGCATACTAGTAGGAAAGCAACAACTCTTAAGAATTGTTGGTCTGCTGTCCTGAAGGAACATTACGGGGTGGGTAATATCAAGAAGGAAAAAGCCTTTACTGTTTTTCTTTGAAATGGTTAACAGAAAATGGGAACTGGCTCAGCTAAACAAAGGGCATGATTTCAGCCTTGAAAAAGGGCTGAAACGAGTTAAGGAGTGCTCACCTAAGCCAGATATTTTAAAAACTGTTGAGTCTAGACTTCTTCCAAACAAATGTTCCTGGAAGTGTGAACAGTTACCTTTCAAAACTCATGGAGGATAATTAGGTATCTGAAGACTACAAGTGGCTAGCACTTCTGCTAGCCACTCTTTCACAAAATTCCCATCAAATCCTCGAAAACTTTGACGACAAATAATCAAACAAAATACCAGTTTGTGTCTAGAAGGTAATGGAGAGGTGATAGCACCAAATATAGATCTGTAAAGACAAGGCACATAGCATTGATCCAGTTTCTTCTCTTGTCACAGCAACAGGCTTTATAGACAGAAGTGGCAGAATAGCAATTTCATTATAGTAAGACTTTTACTAGTATCTGTTTGAGGTTCTCATAAGCAAACAAGGGAAGCATAGATGTGATGAAATTTTAGTAAGATAAGTAATAAAACTGTAGAATATCCATTCCCAGAAAGTAATAATCAGTTCTATGTCTAAACAAGCATAGAACTGTTTGAGTGAGGGTCCAAACATCAATGGGCTATTCCTATTCTGTTCACCTTTTTTTTTCATCACCTTGGTCACAAAACAAGGAGTAAACCCACCAGCAATATGAAACTGGTAGGACTGTAAGTAGTAGAAGAAATATTAAAAATCTTTGTCTGAAAACTTAACAAACTGCAATGAAGGCAAGAACAACATTCTCCAAAAGGAAAGAACTGACCACACAAGTTCAGGATGGGGCTGCTATGCTATGTGGCACTACTGTAAAACAAAGCAGCTTGGGGGAGTCATAGTGCCTGACAAACTAATCATGAGTTGGTGTCATACTGCTGCTGCCATAGAAGAAGGTGCAAATGGCAAGCATTATACTTATGGACAGTACGCGGATGTTAGATGCATACTCTACACTGGCAGGGCCTAAGTTAAGCACAACGTCTAGTGAAAAGATGGCAGAGAACTGGCTATGCAAACAGTCTTCAAAGAGAAAAAAAGACCTTGGGAAATAATTTGGTTTTCATACTCACAGTTTAGGAGACAAGTACTATAAATTTGTTTACATGAACTGCAAAAAGGTTTAAAGTAACACAAAACAGAAATAAGCAAAAATAATTAAAAAGTAAAGCTAACAAAATGCTGCCTCTGACATTCGGGTATTTTAAATATTCAGAATATTTAAATATTCAGAAACAGGTATAATTGATCTTGGTATGAAACAGGAAGTTGTACTAAATCATCTCCAGGATTGACTTCCAGTCTCATTTTTCTACAATTCAATACTGTTTCATGGACCTGCATAGGACACAATTGAGAACTCAGTCCAGGCAGTCAAATTAGCAAAAGCCAAGTATGCATGTGAGCTTTAAAGCTGACTGCACTTTTTGTTAAATTCGTCATCTCATTTCACCCCATCTATTTTTACACTAGGAAGAAGCAGCCTGCCTTCTTTATAATATACAAATCTTTGATGTCAATATCTCCCCTGAGTCTGAATGCTGCCTTTTTTGCCACTCTTACTGTAAATTACTAGTAGGCTGTGGCCACCTTTATCTAAGAAAGAGGATAGCAGAGCAAAATCAATCTTTGCTTCCTTTCCCTTCAAGCAAAACCTGTGCAGCACCAGCCTTTCAATAAAGAAAGGTGTGAAAGCTGAGTTTTTGTATTTGGAGTATTTTTCAGAATTTTTTGCATCTTACAGAATTTGCCATGGACAGTTGGAGCTGTATTTTGTTCTGAATACTCCTTTCCATTGTAGTCTACTAATTAGGATGGAAAAACCAAAAAAACATGAGTCCTAATACTCATTCTCATTTCTTCCACCATGAATCAATCTTTCTGTTTCTCACTGCGGTTCCAGGCCCCATCCTCAGATGGTGTTCATATGAAAAACACCAAATTCCACATCCTAATTTCAAGTGAGAATTACATACCTAAACCAAGATGCCTATCAAGATAGCTAAACTTAATAAAGGAGTAAGGATGCTACTTATCTCTGAAAATCTAAGTTTTAGCACTGTTTAGGGAAGCTGCTGGCAACCTATACCATTCAGGCTGCAAAAAAATCTTAGTAATATTCCATTTGTGTTCATTTTTTTATGCTTGTGATTTGCCTGACTGTTCCATGTACTCATTCAGCTGGGCTCAGTTAGGAGGAAAGATGAAACAGGTAAGAATTCTGGCCACTTAGCATTTAATATTCAATCGATTAAAAATCACCTTGGATTCAAAGAAGGATTGCTGCATCAGTACAAATTAATACCTTTGTAGGTCTGATAAACATCTATTTTAATTTCAAAGCTCTGGTTCACTGGAAATGACAGTGAATATACAAGGTAATTTTGTAGCACTTAGATCGTAGTCTTGATCAGAGCTGCAGTTGTTCCAAATTGCACAGGAGGCATTTGGTATCTCGCAACACCTACTGTAAGACAAAAGTGGAAGGAATAGGAGTACTGCTCTGATAAATCTCCCATGGGGTTAAATAGAAGAAAAAGTGCATGTGGTTTGGTCAAACTGCAGAGCTTAGCCCTCTGTTTCTCTTTCTGTATCTCAGAACACATCCTGGAAATGACAGTATAAATGGCCACATGGTTCCATCTCTACATGGAAGCACCATCAACACCCATCTGCTCCAAGCAAGGATAGCTATGTTCTCCACAGAAGAGATCAAGGCCTGAACAAAGCACAAAGTCCATTTAGGCAGTCACCTCTTTTCCCCTGCTTCTTAGAAGTGTCAAAGCCAAAATAACCTTATGTTTTACCTCTGTTAAACGCATTATACTCATTCAGATTCTGCCATAGATCTCTGGCTCTCAGAAGTATTTTTATTCATATAGGCATTTTTAGTTGGGGAAGGCAGGAAGTCATCATTCCAGGCTAAAAGGACTAGGAAACTGAAATTCTGTGGATTGTTCTTCCCATGGTATTACGAAGATCTTTTTTATGCTATTTTGAGCCTACTTTCTAAATCCATTTTTATAATGATCATTTACCTATGATCCATCATCCTTCACTGCTCAAAGGTAGTCCTGTTTGCTTTTGCCACCTCTCACTCCGTGATATTTGTCAGAACCTCTAATTTCTGTAATCAGCCCAGTCAGGTTCTGGTATTTTATGGGGGTGCCAGCTAGTGCTGCAGTGAATGAAAACAGAAACTTACACCATAACTGCCTTGCAGATATATTACATGGATCCAAATTGTGAATTTATAGGGAAAAGGAGTAACTTTGTAGGCTGGAAATCCCCATTTCACTGCCTTGTGCAATGCAGACACTAGGACTCAAGGCACCCACATTTTACCATGATCACAGACAACCGTGGTTCACATCAGAACAGAAATATTATTCTATCATTTGATGATACACACAAACGAATCACATGATAAAACCCCATCTCTTAATTGTAAACAGTCTTACCTAGAAATTCTAGTCTCTATGGTGCAGACCATGCTCGTATATGGATTTTAAGCTCTCACACAGTTCATGTGTCTCCTGTTTGTCTTCTCCTTGGCAGAAAGCCAGCTGGAGGAGCGTCTGCACTGCAGAGAAACGCTGCAGCTCTGGACAGCCACCACGTCAAAAACCAGCAGCAAGCACTGGGACTGAATCAACAGAAGGCACTCCCACCAGCTGGTATGAAAATACCTAAAAATCTTTCATCTTGTCACCAGGTTTTTTTTCCCTCCATGATCTACAATTGTACTTTTGTGAGAGAACTTACTGTACACTGGTGTTTATTTGCAGGTTTATTGCTTTGTTCATATATTTACCTGCTTCAGTGCAATCCCTCGAGACTAACTAAATTAATGCTTCTGTGCAGGTTATAACACACAGAAATAAATTAAACCTTTTTTGTGAAACAATTCTCTCTGATTACAAGATTTATTTCATATAGATCACAGCCAGTGGCATCACCACAATTTAATGGGTAAAAGACCTATTTATCTGCTGAGAACTAGAGCACATTTTGATTAAAGATCTCAGTTTGAGAAAACTCTGTAAGCCAGCAACACCAGTGGAGCCTGGATAGATAATTATTTTGGACTTCCCTCCCCTCTCCCCCCACCTTCTGTGATTGGCATTTTTCCTGATTATCTTTTGTCAGAGTCTTATGATGGTACAGATCTACACATGCTTGCCAAAACAGTGACTGTCCAAACCTTCAGAAGGCTTCAACTGTGTCCTCAACTCAGGCTTGATGGGTGCTAAGGAGCAAAATGAGACACAACACTGGTTTCTCTACCCATCAAGCTTCCTAAACTGCAGCTCACCTTGGTGGGAATCCTGCAGACTGCAGGGGACAGAATCCAGCACCATTCAGGGAATCTGCAAGTCGTTGCTGACTTGACTCTTGTGGTACAGTAGCTGTATTGCTTTTCCACCCGGCTGAGTCAGCAGAGGATTATCTCCCTTTCTTTGATAGAAAAGGCATGGATTTTTTCTGTCTGAAACTACTCTCTGGTGCTTTCCCTTGCTGAGCATGCAGAATTCTCATATGCTGTTTCCTCAGCAGTACTGCATTGAAGTGCCTCAAAGATGTGGCTCATGAGAACTGACTGTGACAGGGACTTGTGCCCTGAATCAAGGCCTCTCTGGTCATCCCAGATGTTAACTCCTGTCCACGCAACTGTCTATCACAGCAGCTGACAGCTCACAACAGTTTCGTGCTGGTGACTAGCAAACTTCAGAGGGATTTTTCTCTTATGTCTTGTTTCTGTAAATCGTAATCCTTATGGTTGAAGACAATTACACTTGTCTCTAATAGAGTAGGAAGAACCACCAGGAAGAGGCAAAGATCAGTCTTTTCTGCTTACTACCAAGTGATGGAGGAGGAAGAAGGGATGCAAAAGCTGATGGATGCCTGGGCATCTTTCAGCGCTGCGGGCTTCCGGATTTTTGCTGCGGGTTGCACGGTTTTACACGCGTTGGAACGCTTCGTGGCATGCTGCGTTCAGCCACTCTCACACTCGCAACCCCCCGTGAGTTGTTCTGACAAAGGTGGCGGGCCCGGCTCGGCCGCAGCGCGGTTCTTCACAGACACAGCCGACCGCTCCAGAGCTCACCGGGGGCCCCTGCGGGCAGCCAGCGCTGGGGCCGGGGCCGCTCGGAGCCGGGGCTCGGCCGGGACCCGGTGGCGCCGCCTCAGCGGCCGAGGCGGAGCCCGCGTACACGGGCGCGGCGACCGCTAGCGGTGGAGAAGGCGGAACCCCACGACCAAGCCCCGGTCTCCTCCGCAGTAGCGCAGGACCACGTGACTAGCTCGGCCAATCGGGGAGGGGTTCAGGGCTCTTTAAGAGGCTCGCGCCAGTCACGGTGCGCTGCAGCAGCGGCCGCCGGGGTTGCTATGGAGACTGTGGCCCGGCAGGTCGCCATGGAGACGGCAGCGCCTTGGTTGCCGGGCGGGCGGCGCCGGGAGCCGGGGAGGCACGCGCTGCTGGTCGTGATCGGGGAGATCGGGACGGAGCCGGAGCGGGGCGCGCTGCGCGGCGCCCTGGAGCGCGGTGAGCAGCGCCGCAGAGGGGTAGAAGCCCGGCTGCGCCGCCGCCCGGCCCGAGGCGGAGCTGCTGGTGCCTAAACCAGCCCTGCGGCACCACAGCCCCGCCGAGCAGCTACGTCCTCCTCCCGGAGAGGCAGCGGAGAGGGCCCGCGGGCGGCGGCTGAGGGAGGGACCGCTGCTCTGTGGCGGAGGCTGGGGGGGGAGGTGGAGGAGGTTTGTGGGTATGTCCTGGGGCCGCAGACCCGGGGAAGGGCCGGGGTTGGTCGCGGGGAGCCATGCTGGGCTCGGGCGCGCTCGCCGGCCCCCGGCGTGGCTCGCGCAGCGGTGTCGCAGCCGCAGGGTTGGTACGGCCGGTCTCTGAGGTGACCGGAGCCGCAGCTCCAACGGGGACGGGCCCGGTGGCAGATGGCGTCAATAACGGGGCGGTCCTGCGCCGTTCCTACAGGCGCTCAGGCCATACACTGTTGTGTCCTTTGTAGTCCTCAGAGCATTGTCTATTTGCATTAGTGAAATGTACTTGTGGCTTTGAGTGTCTTAAAGCTTGAAGACTTTTTATTGTTCTGAGTTCCCTAAGTGTCTATTTTATTAGTGGGTCAGTGGATTACACCTTACTTCCATTTTACCCCAAACATCTATTAGTTGGGTAATCTGTCTTGCCTGTTTACTGCAGTGCATGGGGACAGCTGCAAAACAGGGCCTTGTTGTGCTAAGGCCTCTCCCTGTCTAAGGAGCAACTATGTGGACCCCAGAGGCTGAGGAAGGATAAGCCACTGCAGTGAACTGCTACAGGACTGGCAGAGAGCAAGACAGCCACGACATAGTGCTGCTTTGTTATCCATGTTGGGGTAGTGCCTGGAGACACTGGCAGTTAGTCTTTGTGTATTCGATGCAGTGTTGTTTAAAAGCAAGGGGGAAGAAGGTGGCGAGTTGGTAGTTCTTGCTTTGTGGCGGAAAGGAGAGGTAGTTGGCTACATTAGGACCTGAACAGGATCGTGTTCTAATAAACGGCTTAGTACACCTCTTGAGAAATAATGTAAAAGCCCTTTGACTTTGCATGCACCCCTTCTCCCCATTTCCAAGACACATTTGTCTAAAAGAGGCAAGTGATAACATTTGTAACTATCGGCCAAACTATTCTTGGAGGTACTTCTATGTCTTTTTTCCTTTCAAACATCAACAGAACTGAGGATCAGAAGAGGTGGGTGTAAAAATATCAAATCTTGTCATATTTCTCCACTTCAGTATCTTTTCCATGAATCTCTGCTGGCAGACCAGCTACTTTGAGAGCAGCATTTTTTCTGTTTTCCAAGGACGGTTTTCTTCAGTAGTGTTAGGTCAGACTGGCCATTTGGCTTCTGACAGCCCCTCTTTGAAGGGGCTGCTCCTGCTTCCTACACAACAGGATGACAGTCTTTGCTTGGCACTTGACTGGTGTGCCAGCCTGCATCCTTATTCATTCTCTGAACAGTGACAGGCCAGACTAAGCTAATGGATTTCGCTCATTGATCTGCAGTCAATAACCACAATATGCCAATAACCTGGCAATGCCTGTTAGAGAGAAAAAAATAAATGCCAGTTTGCAATGTGACCTGTAATTGCCACAGCAGAACTAAGTTCTACAGTTAGTTTTGTCTGACCTGAAACCTTCTGAAATTCTGCTAAGAGCCACTTAAGCAATACTGGTAAGTTATTAGAAGTGAAGTGCTAAAGGAACAAGGAACCTGAATTTTGGACTCTCCTCTGTCACTGACTTGAAGTAGGACCTCCAGCAAGTCATATGGGACTTTTCCCCACTGTGACTTGGGAGAATAACTTTTGTGAAATAGACCAAGATCTGCAAATGGTAAGTTGCATATAAAAAGTAAGAATAGTTAAAATGACTGCAGGGTCTTGATATCCAGACAGCATATTACAATGTTGTAGACAGCTATACTTTTGATTCAGGGAGTTCAAGAAATGTGGAAATGGTGCACACATGATGATTCCTATTTCTTTAGCTTGATGGAGAGGCTTCATGTGAGGTTTTTGTGAGGGTAGAACAGGCTGCTGAGCAGAAGATTTTATTTAATCAGGAAGGAAAGCTGTGTAAGTAACAAAATGCTTTTGCCCTTCAGAAGAGTGTATTTCTGCAGCTTGGTAAGTATGGCAAGGAGCTTGTAGCCCTGACAACAGTCAGATTAACAAAATTGGCAAATCAAGTTGTCAAGCAAAGTTGATCCTAAGGCTTCCATACTATATATCTAGCTGGGATTTTCTAAAGGATGGAGAGCTAGGACTTGTCTTGTCTCTTTTCTGTTGCTGTGGCAAAAAAAACCCCAAACAAACAAAAAACCAAAAACAAAACAAAAAAACCCAAACAAACCCTCCTCCCAAACCAACAGTACACCACAAAGATTTATTATTATTATTATTGAATAAATCTCTTTCTCTGGCTGATTCAAAAAGTGCTTTCCGAGATTTCTTTCCACACCTTGGGTCAGGAGAACAGAACAGTGATTATCAGACATCATGGGAATCTGCTGGTCTCTATGTGTAGTGCCTCATAGGCAGTGGCATTGTGTATCTGCAGGCTGCTTGGACAATGCTTGTTCTAAAGTGCTGTTTGATAAATATTGGTTTTAGTTTTCTGTTCCTGAGTGACTTTTGTCCAGTTTAGAAACAATATCTGGATGGCGAGGTCTGGTATTAAGGGGAAATGCCAAATCTTGTAAGCCAATTACCTCAGCAGGAAATGAGAGAGTTCACAAGGTCGTAAGAGATGGAAAAGTGATGAGTGACATGGTACCTTACCCAAGCCTTGCACATGCAAAGAGCATAGATATTTAGAATTGTTATGGTGTAGTCTGTACTCCTGTATCAAGAGGCAGAGGATTCTAATCAGCAAGGGCAATGTGGCTCCTGTGCTATGGAATAACAAACTGGAGTTGTGGCAAATGGGGAGAGATAAGGAGTAACTTCAGACTACTTGGAGGGGGAAAAGTGTTGAATAAATTGTTGCATGTAATGTGAGTGGGATCATAATTTCACTGTCCCCTTTCCTTGCTCTGAAAGAGAATCTTATTCTTTCTGCATCCTAGAGGATGTAGCAGTACCTCAAATAGCATTTATTGCTGCAGTAGGACACCATGACAATGACACAGCAGCTAGAGTCAGCAGGATTGGCCCTGCAGAGTGCCATCTTGTTCCTGTCCAGGTTAGAATGCTCATCAATACTGCATTAAGATGCACTTATATTGGACATTTGCTTAAACAATCATGCTTTCCAGGAGTATAGCATAGGAAAAGATTCTGTTCACCTTCTCGCTCTGTCTTTTATAGGTTTCATTTGTTCCTTATCCTATGCCCAAACTGAAAGGAATAAATGTTCTATAACACTGAAGGTGGTGTTGCGTTTAGCTTGTTTGATTTTTCTTCTTTTTTTGTCCTTTTTTTTTTCCCCTGATGTTGAGAGGGCTCGCAGAGGGTTTTGTTGTGCACTCTGCAGCACAGACTGTCAGGTAATAGTCCAGGAATACAGCCTATGTGAGCTGTCACTAGAAAAGGAGACCAAGAACAAAGTTTGCTTGAGCTGCTGTAGGTTCTACAAAGCCTTTAGACTATTGAACTGTGTGGTGCAACGGTTACTAACTCCATCTTAGTTATGTGTGGAAAGCTGGAGCTTGTATCCTACAAGATCCTGTATCCCACCAGTAGCTTGCAGAGGCTGTTCCAAAACATGGAGTTACTGTGCTGGAGAACTAGAACTATAGTAACTGGGAATGGTATCTCTCAAAAACCAACATGCTTCACTTGATGGCAGATATCGAATGCAATAGAACTATGTATTTTATGCAAGAAAGGATATGTCTTCCAGAAGATGGTGAAAGGACTCTCAGTTAAGGACTCCAATAAACACTGGAGCTGAGATTCTTGTTTCAGTTAACTTTTAGAAGTCTGCGGCTTTTGGCCTTCATCTGTTCTTAAGCAGGCAGCAGCACAAGAGGCTGGACTAGTGGTTTATGCTGATACCCTGGTTTTGTTCACAGTGCCAAAGAATAGTATCACACCACCTGGGAGAGGCTCCTCCCCACTGGGATGTGAGATCTGTAATGTTTGATGTCGTCCAGAATGTACAACTGCTCACACTGGGGTCTGAAGGTGACTTCCCCAGTGTGGCATGGTGCCACTTGATCTGGGAGCAGATGCTGCTTCCTGCTGTGATATGAAGGTGATTAGCTTACAAAGATTATATAGATTAAAGAGCAAACTCAAGGGGTCTCAGTGGGATCAGGGGCTTTGAAGGAGTGATTAGGCAGAGCAAATTGGGAGGGGGGGTGGTTCTGACTTGGAGGATGTATAGGCTATAAAAGCAGAGAAGCTGGTGTCTCTGAGCTGTTTAGTAGTTTGACCATCTCTACTAGTGAACAACGCTGGATAATGCAGAAAATATAACCTAACAATCTATTTGCTTAGTTAGGCAGTAGCATAATTTAGGTAGTCTCAATCTCTTGTAGCTTGTTAGGTTCACTTGCATGAAGCCCAGGTTGAATGAAGACTTGCTCACTGTTGTGTACTTCAGGGATAAACGTTCTATGGAAGGTAAGCATTTTGTGGCCCTCTGCTTCTGAAGACTTCCTCTGTCCTAAGTATGCTCTTTCGGAAGAGCATCACTGGTCCTTGTGTGTCCTGTTAACTTTATCTCCACTTCTGTTTCTAGAGCAAATGTAACAGCTCACTATTCCTTTTCTTTCTTTTTTTCTCTTTGTATGGCAGGAATTCGTTCCTGGAACATTAACATTCTGACCTGTGACCTGAATCAGCAACTGCGACTCTTTGTAACCAGACACCTGGCTCAGTTTTCTTCAGAAGTCAAAGGTAAACTTTTTGGTTTATCACCATTAACTTTGAATTTTTCTTTCTGATTTGAACAAACGCAGAATAAAGTTGAGTGTGATTTAGAATGTCAAATTCAATTAGTGATCTTTTTTTTTGCCCAGGATTCTGCAGACATGAATACTAAAGAAGAAAAACTTAAGGATTTGCTGGATGCAAGGAATATAACTTAAGCTTATGTATCTTACTACTGTGAATAAATAGAAATGTGCTGTTTAAAAGCCTGTTAAGCTAGTAAGAATTTGTCAGTCTTCTTATTCAGGTGACACAGTATAGTTTTACTTTGCAAGCTATTTATTATCTATATCTTCCTTTGGGGTTTTAATATGTAGTTTTGTAGGCACAAAACGTGTTGCAAGTAGTGTGTAAGACTAGTAAGATGACTTTCTGAATTCCTCTTTTGAAGGCCTATCTCCCTTTCCTGTTAAGAGCAATGAATAAGCTCTGGATAGTTCAAGCTATAATACTTCAATATATGTTAAAGCTACTATAATAAGCCCAGAGGACTCTGTTGCAAAATCTTTTTTTGCATAAGGCTGTCTTACAATCCACTGTACATCTTGCAGTCTTGTCAAAGTGTCTGAATGTATTCTCCAGTTGGAAAAGCTGTTCTCCTAATGCATAGCTTTGAAAGAAGGTACCTGGACTCTTACCAAATATGTCACTGTCTGAGAGGCCTCAACTTCCCTGTGACTTTTTAATGCAGGGATAGAAAGTCTCCCTCCCTGCATAACAGTGTATGTTTGTATACACATGCTTAGGGGATTAAATTACTGTGTGAAATGTATCAATTGAAACACTCAGCAGAAGATCTGTCTAAATTTGAGGCACCTGTGTCTATGGTACAAATAGACTAAGCACTAACAAGTGACTGTGAATATAATATTTGCCCAAGAGTTGTTATAACTCGTGGTTGAAACATCTGGATAAACATTAGCTATGTGTATCCCTCACGTTTCTCTTGCCTGGTTCCTGAGCAGCAAGGGGTGATAAATAAAATGCCAGTCTATAAAGAAGCTTCCATGAGGGATATGGGGAATTGCAAGTGTTTAACAAGCTGTCAGGTCTACTGAGCAAATCAGTAGTAAAAGGCAGTCTACCTGGGAAGAGTCACCATTGGTTCTGCAAAGGTAAGTCCTGTCTTTCAAATGTCTTTAAGCTCTTTGAAGCAATCAGCAAACACACAAATGAGTGATTTAGTGTACCAGCCAAAAATGTTTAGGAAATGTAAATCCATAAAGTCTGTTTAAGGAAGCCTATTGGCCACAGAACTAGGGGCCAGGCTTTGGTATGCAGAAGTTAACTGAGAGAAGGATGGGTAGACAGAAGTTCTGATGTAAATAGCCAGCTCTGGCAGTGGAGGTGGATTGCCAGTTGAGTTCAACAAGGTACAAGCTGCTTAACATAGCAAGTTAAATGTTAAATGGTGATCAGTGAGGCAAGTTTGATAATCCAAAGTTACTCAGGACTCAGTAATGCTCGCTGCCCAAAGGAAGGAGGATGTAGTCCTGGATGGTGGCAGCAGCAGAACAGAGAAAGTCAGGAACAATTATGGAATACCTTGAACAACAACAAACTCTCTGTTTTATGGAGAATCTGGAAGCTAGCAAATGGTCCGAAAGAGGGGGAGGGTGATGTGAGGAGGAAGATGAACAGCAGTATCCAACCAAGTCAAGGTGAAATACTGAAGGCTTGTGTTCTCTTATATGGTGAGGGTAGCCTCATGTGCACTTTTGCACAGTTATCAGTTGCCACTGGCTGCCATAATAGTTTAAGACTATGTACAGTGCCTCTTTGTGCTGGATGTTAATTGTTCCTTACAGCCAAGAGGGACTGTCTCTCTCCAATACAAATTAATGTGGTGCTAGGTGAAGTACAATAATAGCTTCTCAGTGCAAGGGCAGTTTGCTTTCTGATACCTGCTGGTTTTGGTGTTCAGAGAAAACAGCTTCTCTTTCTGAAAACTTTTTTCTACACAAATATTAGCAGCTACTTTCAGTCTGACTAGGGCATTTTAAATAGCCCAACAGCCATCCCAGTGATCTTTCCTCTCAAATCATACTTTGTATTAGTCTTTGGATAAGCTGTTACAAATAACTAGTGACATAATTGAAAATCAAGCAATGAAGAACAATGTTGAGGTTGAATTTGATGGAACAAATGCTTGAAATAATGAAACATTGATGAGACACTTCTTGCCTTTGTAAAAGGATTATCAGAAATATTAAAATGCTTTCAAGTATTACCTTGCATATTCCTTTGCCAACTTAATTTTTTATGCTGAAAGCCAACAGGGTTTGTTTAACAGTCTAATAACAAGCTGCCTTTCAGACAGATGACCTTTAGGCTCTTGAAGCCTTTCATATCTGACCTAATAGAATCATAGAATAGTTAGGGTTGGAAAGGACCTTAAGATCATCTAATTCCAATCCCCCTGCCATGGGCAGGGACACCTCACACTAAACCATGCCACCCAAGGCTCTGTCAAACATGGCCTTGAACATTGCCAGGGATGGAGCATTCACAACTTCCCTGGGCAACCTATTCCAGTGCCTCACCACCCTAACAGGAAAGAATTTCCTCCTTATATTCAATCTAAACTTACCCTGTTTAGGTTTTAACCTGTTACCCCTTGTCCTATCACTACAGTCCCTAATGAAGAGTCCATCCCCAGCATCCTTATAGGCCCCCTTCAGACACTGGAAGGTGCTATGAGGTCTCCACGCAGCTTCTCTTCTCCAGGCCGAACAGCCCCAACTTTCTCAGCCTGGCTCCATACAGGAGGTGCTCCAGTCCCCTGATCATTCTCATGGCCTCCTCTGGACTTGTTCCAACAGTTTCATGTCCTTTTTATGTTGAGGACACCAGAACTGTACACAATACTCAAGTGAGGTCTCGTGAGAGCAGAGGGGCAGGATCACCTCCTTCAACCTGCTGGTCACACTCCTTTTCATGCAGCCCAGGATACGGTTGCTTTCTGGGCTGCAAGCACACACTGAAGCCGGCTCATGTTCATTTTCTCGTTGACCAGCACCCCCAAGTCCTTCTCCTTGGGCTGCTCTGAATCTCTTCTCTGCCCACCCTGTAGCTGTGCCTGGGATTGCTCCGACCAGGTGTAGGACCTTGCACTTGGCACGGTTAAACTTCATAAGGTTGGCATCAGCCCACCTTACAAGCATAACACACAGCCTTACCACAAACTGATGTCTTTGGTTTAGATATAATGCCTGTTGAGGGTACAGATACATCTGCCACAGCTCAGTGAGGGTGTAGCAAAGTTGCATTATAATTCCTGAAGGCAGCTATCTTTTTGGATGAGTACTTTTAGAATGCAATTAACTGAAACTAGGAGAGGAATCTTCTTCCAGCCTCTAGAACTTATGGGCAGCTACAAAGAGGATGAAGGGTTTCTCTTTACAAGGGACAATGAGCGCAAGTTGAATCAGGAAAGCTTCCAACTC